AGAACATGGCTACGGAAAATACATGCTAAACATTTAGGGTTCACCTTCAAAGAAGTCACTTTGTAAAGCTTTGGTATCACTGCTCACTCTGCTGCAACTCTGTGCGACAAATCCAGACAGGGGATTTAAGCCATGTGCTAAATCCTGTGTATTCAGCCTCTCCCCTCTGATGGGCCAGGGAGTGCAAGGATGACTGACTCAGAGGGCAGTTATCCAAGGTGAACCGTTTTGACATGAACATCTTAAACTTTTACCACCATTAACAGAGTTTTAAATGTATTTTCAATATAAGGACTTTTAATATAAATCATTATTGCTAAAGCAAAAAGACGGCTCGTGGAGCAGCTCCTTGCAGTTTAAGGGGAAACAGAGGGTAAATATGTGAAATTAGGCTTGTGCTCAGCATACTGTTTTTGTTGGAACTGGCTTTGTTATACATTCATCAATTATGGAAATAATGTCTGATTTTTGCTGTTTTTTCAAAGCGGGAGACATTCTCAGGGAACCAAAAGAAACATGACCCAAATTGGTTCCACCTGGAGGGAAGAAAATGCATATTGGTGTTTATATGTAGAGGAGCAGAGTGTAATTAACATGTGTCAAGAAATATAGACAAATAAAGGAGAATATTTAAAATAAAATAAGGACTTTGCTTGTATTTGGGTATCAGAAGGAAACCAGACATCTTACATTGATAAAACATCCCTATGTGAGATTCTAAGTTCTTCAGAGTATATTTTTGTAGTGTAAATATCATAGCGTCAGTTTATTTTTAGATGGCTTATAAATTAATCAATCAATCTGTTTTCAGAAACATCAAGAAAAACCTATTGAATAGTTCTTTCTGAAAGTATCTACAATGCTGTAGGCTCCACATTATGTGTGATCCAGTGTCAGAAGATAATGGTCCATTGTTTCCTGGCACGGCTTCCAGTGTAAGACAAATGAATAACAGTAGAAACAACCACCATATTCATGCCCATGGCATAAAGAGATCAGCGCATTCGGAGCTCCTGCAAATTGCGCATATGGTTTAGTGTTTAAAATTTTGTGAATATTGTGTGTGTCTTCAGGCTGCAGTTTAAATGCAAAAAAATTTGCTTTGTTGTTGTTTTTTATGCATTTGTTAAATTTCTGCATTTTAGTTTTAATAATTCCAGTGTTATCTTCCTAGAGTTGTAAATAAAAACATATTTGAATTTTTCTATGTATGACTCTCTCTGCCTGTAAAGGTCAAGGGTGCAAAATGGTCAGCACAGTGAGGTGGTACCTCCATACAGACAACCTACTCACCATCATTCTCTCCTGCAGCTAATAAGCTTATAAAAACTGATGTGAGAGGAGTTTTTCTTCTTGCTGACTTGTTGTTATAAAGCAGATAGAAATGTGCAGAAGTAGAGGATGGGAAACGCATATGTCACTAATAAATGCATCTAGGTAAAAACGACAGAGACAAAAAAATACAGACAAAATCTAAGTTTAAGCAGAGACGTTACTTATCACATTTTGCAAATGTTGAAGAGCGCCCTCATCTTTAGGGTACCTTCCTGAGGTTTGTACTAACTGGAGAGAGGAGCTACAAAAGTAGGTTTTTTATGTTCTCCTTCATAACACCTTACTGTCTTCACAATTACCTGAAACTGGTGCTACTTACTGTACCACCACAACTATTTTTAATAAATATGAAGAAAATTGTTTTAAAGGAAAAGTTCAGTCACCAAGGAATAACCTTTGGGTCATTATTTATACCTAAAAAGAATATGTTTGCAGTGATTTAATGAATTCAGCGTTAATCAGTTAAAAAAGATCACTGAGTCTGGGAATAGCCATTTTGTCCAAATATAGTAACACCTCACTCCTGACATCTTCTGGCAGTGACGTCACAAAGAATGGCCAAACGCCATTCCCCCCACTTAACAAGCAATATCAATGAGAACTACTAGACACATCTGCAATTAACAACAATTATTTAAGATTCCGAGATGACTTCACCATTGAAATTCACGAGAGCTATAGTGAAACTGACAATGCACACATGCATGGCAGTTGGATGTTGTAATACATCGGGTTGAAGAGGGAGGATTTGCTATTGAACTTCTGGCCAGAGAAAAAACACCCCATTAATCCGTTACTATCTGCTTCGCATAGTGCACTGGTCGTCGCCATAATGGATAATAGCGTGTTGTGACAAACACCAGATACAGAACTGGGACTTGATCAACAGCCAATACCGCACCATGACATCAAAACCAGTAGGTGGCAGTAGTGTTCTTTAAAAAACATCGATGTCTCCATTAAAGCACATATTAGCATATTTCACATATTTATTCCGATCAATAAAAGAAAAGTTTTCTTAGTACAAAAAAATTCAACCTTGAAATAATTATGTGCAGTTTTGCACTCAATACTTGGTTAGGAATCCTTTTGCAGAAATGACTGCTTTAATGCGGCGTGGCATGGAGATAATCAGCCTGTGGCAGTGCAGAGGTGTTATGGAGGCCCAAGATGCTTTGATAGCGGGCTTTAGCTCATCCAGAGTGTTGGGTCTCTCAACTTTCTCTTCACAATATCCCACCTGAACCCAAAAATCCCTCTATGGGGTTCAGGTGAGGAGAGATGAGAGGCCAATTGAGCACAGTGATACCATGGTCTGTATTCAGGCACCTTGATTTCCAAATGACATGCAGAATTTGCTTTCATTCGAAAAAAGTATTTTGGACCTCTGAGCAACAGTCCAGTGCTGCTTCTCTGTAGCCCAGCCTCTGCCACTGTTTCTGGTTCAAAAGCAGCTTGACCTGGGGAATGCAGCACCTGTAGCCCATTTCCTGTACACGCCTGTGCATGGTGGCTCTGGATGTTTCAACTCCAGACTCACTGCTTCCACAGGTCCCCGAAGGTATGGAACTGGCCCTTCTCCACAATCTTCCTCAGAGTCCGGACACCTCTTCTCGTTGTGCAGCGTTTTCTGCCACACTTTTTCCTTCCCACAGACTTCCCACTGAGGTGCCTTGATACAGCACTCTGGGAACAACCTATTCGTTCAGAAATATCTTTCTGTGTCACACCCTCTTGCTTGAGGGTGTCAGTGATAGCCTTCTGGACAGCAGTCAGGACGGCAGTCTTACCCATGATTGGGGTTTTGAGTGATGAACCAGGCTGGGAGATTTAAAAGCCTCAAGAATCTTTTGCAGGTGCTTAGAGTTAATTTGTTGATTCAGATGATTAGGTGCATAGCTCGTTTAGAGACCTTTTTCATGATATCCTAATTCTGTGAGATAGGAATTTTGGGTTTTCATGAGCTGCATGCCAAAATCATCCATCCGTATTAAGACAAAAAAAAGACCTGAAATATTTCAGTTAGTGTGGAATGAATCTAAAATATATGAATGTTCAAGTTTTATCATTACATTACGGAAAATAATGAGCTTTATCACAATATGCTAATATTTTGAGAAGGACCTGTATATGCATGATGCTGCTCAGGAACTAAATAACTGTCAGTAAATTTGCAGCCTCACAGATTGCATACTTTAGTAGTAATAATCAGTATTTGTGTATATTTTAACTCAGGAATTAAAAAAAGGAGTTTCTGAGTTAAATATGAAAATATCTGTGTTAAATTGAAATGAAATGAAATAATAGTAATAAAACATGACTTATTTAAATTGAAAACCAACACTGAGGAAAAAAATCAATGTGTTATTTCTACATACTAAAACAAAGTGCATTGTTTTTTCTGATGTCTGAAGCCTGGAAAAAGAATAAGTAATTCAGAAACTGAAGATTTACTTGGTGTTCTTGTATCCATATAAACCATCCAACATCATTTAGGCCCTGTGGACACACAAAAACAGATTTCTGATAGCTTTCAATCAATATTTATGTCAAAGACTCCAAGTCAGAGGAGGCAATAGTACAACTAATCAACAGCAATGGGCTCCAGCATCCCAACCATACAGTGACACTAATACTTCAAATGCATCCGATGTAACAAACACACACGCACGTACGTGGCCACATAGGCAGTAAACCACCCATAAAACACAGACAGAAAAAGGAGAGAGGCTTGTGGCAGCCTCTCAATAAAAAATGTGCAAACGTCTGTGATGTCGATTCACTTTATCACCTCAATTATGATTCAGCATCTGTTCCTTTTAGCGTGTGATCAGCTAGTGCCCTGCCAGCACTTGGGGGGGGGCAGACTGGACGGCAAAATCTCAAAAGACGAGCTGTGGATGGCTGTTAGGTTTTGGAGCTTAGCCAAGCAAATTTAGCTGTGTCCTTTCAAGGGCATCAAAAGAAAAGGGAGAATCCAAAATCCAATGAGTAAATGAGTGATAAAAGCAGGTCTTTCTGTCTGTGATTATTCATATGGAAACATTGCAATGTCACTTCAAAGTATTACCTGAATTTTAAATGATAGAACATGGTTTAGTGCGAAGTCACTGAGTTAACGACTTATGAGGAAAGACTATACACATGTTGTGTTGGTCAGTCATTACTGAAGTACATTGAAGTACACTGGCAAGACCAAACATTGCTGTTTAGAGACACTCTTCACCCTATTTAATTAAGACAGTTTACAGTTTGTTTGTTTTTTGTTTTTTTGCAAAGACTGTAGGTAAAATCCTCACTATCTAAATGAGTAAAGCTTGTGGAGACATACCGATTGTATCTGAAAACATTAGGGGGGAAAAATCATCCTAAAGTGGGTCTGTTACAATAAATCCCCTAAAGTGTTTTACATTTACAGGTTTTTAACTTGACAAAAGTGAAAAGAGCTAAGGATTATTGATGCTTTTGTAACACCTGTGTCTTTAAACAAAGCAGTAAATTGTCCAGCTTTCAGTGTTGTTGTGTCCTTAGGCAAGACACTTCACCTGCATAGGCTACTGATGGTGGTCAGAGGGGACAGTGGCCCCAGTCTACAGCAGCCTTGATTCTGTCAGTAAGTCCCATATACAGTATATGAATATTTTGATTATTGACAGACTCCCTACCTGGTGAGCAAACAGCAATCATGGAGTAGAGTATTTTCCACATAGATGCCCATGTCCTCCTGTGTGGTCACGATGCGGCCATTGTGACGCCATCTTAGCACCACTGACTGGTCAAGATAGGAAGCAGTGCACTGGAGGGGTAGTTGGTCACCATGGAAAACAAGCTGCCTCTGGGAAGGAATGAGCTGGAAAAGAGGCATCTCTAAAGGACCATCTGTAAAGGTACAATAAGAAGTACAGAAATAGCAGACGATCTTATAATTGTTTTTATACAATCTTTTTTTAGGTGGAAAAGAAAAAAAAAATCCTCTCTTTAAACCCAATTCATGTAAAAGATAAAAAAAAAACAGATGCATGCCTCCATTGACTTTAAAAGCATGCAGATGTAACTCTGAACATAAAGTGAAGCTCAGACTCCCTGTTTGTCGTTACTGTTGGTGAGCAATGCAAACAGCAGTGAAAAAAAACAGGCTTAGCCTCTGAAGCTTTCCTGATTCTTTCTTGTTCCAACGAAGTCAATAATAGGAACCTAAAGCTACACTACTGACAAGAAAACTCACAAGTGAGATGGTTGAGTTCATAATCCGCTTAAAAAAAACACTACTACAGAGGTTTGATCAAACAACAGTGTGCAAGAATGCTGGAAAAAGAATGATGATAAAATGATTACTGTTGGAAGTCTAAAAGAAGACAACAGGTCTGAAGTTTCTTTTCTCTTGGCCTCCCCCCTATCCAGATAATGAATCACTAAAATGTGATAGCAGCAGTGGAAACCAAGCTGGGTGGCTTTAAAAATCCACATCCATCAAATATAAATAGGAGACCTTGCCACTATACACAATCAAAGAAGTATAAAGGAGAGCTGTTACATTGGATCAATTTATAATTCATACGGAAGCAAGCCACCCTGTGACATTGGATGAATTTTAAATGCATTTTGCTGACCAAAGAGTCGCTTTAACTGTCAGTTGGACTTCAGTGCATTGACATGAAGCAAAGGGAAAACACTTGCATTATTTTACATTCTAAATAACTGTCTTTGAAATGTGAACTTAATTTCAAATTAAATGTTTTTTTTCCTTTTAAATATGGCTACTGTGCCCCAACCTCAACATTCTTCCCTCACTTCAGGTTAGTAATCACTGTTAGTACAATTGCTGTGTTTACATACTCTGTTTTACAAGTTCTATTTTTTAAGCATAACACATCAAAGCTGCTTAAAAAAAAAACAAAATCCAGAAATGTATTGATTTCATCACCGCCTGACTAATGTTTTTGCAGCTGGAACACGACTTTCTGATACCAAGACTTCTCAAGGCAGGTCTGTTCTTTAAGAAACATCTGAGGCCATTTTAAATATTTCTTGATATCTTTTAATAATTAAAGCAATGAAGTAAAACCATGACACATAGACCTAAAAGTAAATCTTAATGATGATACCCTTGATGTGCCGTTACACTACACTGTCATCATACATAGAAAAGAACTGCAAGTGAAGCAGAATCATTTAGTAAAATCATGAATAGCACACCAAATTAGCTCTAACTTTATGTCTGGTGTGTTGTTCTGGACAGAAAGCAGTAGTGAAATGGATTAAACAGATGCCTATGGATTCAACACAGGAAGCAACTGATGCTGTCTGGATGCCCAGCACACCTCCCTGTTCCACTCCTCTGCAGCCAGAGACTGACCTGGATCACTAAGGACAGGGGTTTGAATGTTTAGGGCAGATGTTTTTATGACTTTTATGTAAAACAAAAATTAGATCTAAAACGTCTGGAATGTAGCTCCAATGAGGCGAGGGTGGCATAGGATGCAGGATCTTGCCCTGAAACTGGAGAGTCACCTGTTTGAAAAGGTCTCAGTTGTTGGGTCCTTGGTGAATGTTACAATGTCCTAATAAACCCGAAACACATTATTTGGGTATGTGCCTCGAGCGGCAAAGAGACGACTTCATATGACTAAACTTCATTTAGTAGTATTTTCTTGTTTATATATATATATATATATATATATATATATATATATATATATATATATATATATATATATATATATATATATAAACAACATGTGCAATAACCCTGTATAATAACCCTACTACAAAAAAACAAAACAATAAAAAGCTGTTATGTGTTGACACACCGTATATACTGTATATATCCTATGCACCTTTTTCTTCCTTTAGCACAGGGGTCTTCAACGTTTTTCAGGCCAAAAACACCCAAACTGATGGCAAGATGGAGCAGCAACCCCCTAATTATACATATACATATATATACATATATATATATATATATATATATATATATATATATATATATATATATATATATATATATAT